CCACTTCCTCCCAGTATCCAGGAATAAAGCAAGAACTACCTAAAATGACAGAAAACATTTATTTAAATGTATTTCATGAGTACTTTGACATTTTAGTTTGGTCCCATCTGCTAACATGGGGGAGGCGTGGTGCCACTTTGGCTTCACTTTTGGGGAGCTGTCATGTCGTCCGTCTGTATATTTACAGTGTGAGGTTTTAATGATGGTAAACTGAATTAACTCTGTGTCTGTTCTGTCTCTCTCCTCTTCACCTCTCCAGCAGATGTTTCATCCGTCACTCTCACTCCTCATCTCCTCCTCTGCTGTCTCCTCCTGTTCTGTTCTCCTCCTCTCTCTCCTGTCATAAAGGTAATGCAGTCAGCTTTTTCAACCAAAACCAAACCACATCTATGACATTTTTGATGTGATGGTGTCACAATCTTATTTTTAATTTATTTGAGACATAGACTCGAAGCGTATTTACTGTTTTAATATTGTTTCACTGTGTTGGATAACTGGACCATTGTTGGATGCCAGCTACAGGCCAGTGTTCAATGCAGCAGTTACACATCAATCAAAATAATATTTCTATTTATTACTTACCACAGTGTAATCAGTGGATTTAATGCTAAGATAACATTTATCTTCCATAACATCAGCTAACCTCTTACTTATTGTGCTCTTGTTGCACTTTTAACTCTGTGGTTGGTCTATCCCATCACACACTGGTGTACTTTGGAATGACTCTTTATTTATGAGGGTTTATAGTGTGATAATTATATATAAAGCTTTGCTCGCGAGTTTGCTACAGAGTCCTCTTCCTTACCAGCCAGAGTTTGTAGATGAGGCCGTGTACTTTCATGTGCCCTGACTCATCAGCTGCTACAGCAACAGAAGCATAGGAGTCATTCAGCATGAGCGTCTGTGGCAATACCACAATTTTTATCAGTCGTCTTCCATCTGTAAACCACACATACACATAGACACACACACAGACATGAATATAGGAGGATAGAAACACAATAAAGCTTATTTCCACTGTGGTATTTTAGAATGACACAGAACACATCAAAAGACAATCAATGAAACAACAACACGGCAAGGAAGTGGGAATATTCAACAATTCTTTCAGCCCAATTAATCCTAACCCCACCTCTTGTTAAAAAGCTATGATTGTGCTTTAGCCCATGAGAAATGAGAAATCCAGTAATTTGGCACTGAGCAACATCTTGAAGTGTTTTTTAAGATTTCATGATTGACTAGAGCTTCAGCTAATGTGTGAAGAATTAAGATTTTCATTTACCGTGGTGAGGGCTTTTAAAGCCATATTTCTGCATAGAAAATGATGACAGGATCATTTACATTGTGTTTAACAGTTACATGGAACTTCTAAACTTTGGAATCTGGTGACCTTGGAAATTTTGTTTTATAAACCCCCACCCCTCAAAAATGGCTTCATATTTTCCCACGTTTGGGGATTATCTATTATCTGATAACCATCTAATTCTACTTTTTCTCACTAAGATAGATTTCAGCCAAGTTTGTAATCTTTATTTTTATGTGCTACCATAAAAGATGATTGCAGGAGGTGACAGCTTTAAAGTCATTTATAGGCCTATATAATAGAAAGCAAAATAAAGGGCCCAGTATAGTACCCTGTGGCACCCCACATCCCATGATCCTTGACTTTGAAAGCGTCCCATTAACATTAACCAGTTGACAAGGATTTGATTGGTATGAATGAACCCAATTCAGGGTAAATTCACTGAAACCCATGGCTCCTAATTTGATTAATATAATGCTGTGATCTACTGTGTCAAATGGTTTCTGTAAATCCAGTATGACCGTAACAAAAAATTCCCTCCATCCACTTCTCTTCTGAAAAAGCCTGTTAGATTAAGTAAGGAAGTAAGTTTCAGTAAAATGGATTCTTTGCAATTAGAATGGATACACATCTGCCATTTTTGAGTCATCTTGAACTTTATGTGACAGAATAAACACATTAATTATACCAGATTTAGACAAAACATTTCACATGTGCGTACAGTACAACAGTACAGCCAAGCTTCACTGATGAATAAAGATAAATACTTTATGTCCACCTTCTTATCTTTTGTTCACATTACACCTCGGCTTTTGAATATTAAACAAAAACTCTGAGACATGATTCACAGATGAGGGCTGATTTTGCTCTTTCACATAGCTTCTGTTTCTGTGTTGAGGTGAGGAATGCTGTAAATTATCCAACCTTCTGTATCTTTGCTCTCAGATATTTATATATGTCTATCTACTGTACCTATCTTGTATTAATCATCACATGACTTGCATCACTTCAACTTGCAATGCACTTTCTATTCACTATATTATTTATGGCTGTTGTGATGTTGTTATATTCTATTAAAGGATATAATGATACTTTTTCAATGTGTGTTGTGCTTTTGTGGCTGCTAAAGCATTTCCTAATTAAATATTAATGCATCCGCACTATCATAGTAATCAAGTATGTGGGGTATACAGTGTTTTAATAAGTGGATGTGTTGGTGGCCATTGCTCTAAAACTCAATACACTAAGTCCAGAAGT